AGAGCATTCAACACCATTTTTCCTCACATATTTTTCCAGAACAAATTTATGGAGATAGGGGATAAAAATGTATAAATTTTCATCTCATAATGTTCGATACCGATTTACATACCTTTGAGTCTTAAGTGAGTAGATGACAGGATTCACCATACTGTTGAGGTGTGTGAGAAAAAACGCAAGGAAATGAGGCCATGTACCGTGCATTTTTGCAATGTTGTGTAACAGCATAGGGAACACACCCATGAAGAAAAATGTCATCACAGTCAAACCGATTGTTTTGGCTGTCTTCACATCATTTTTAACTTGTTTTCGCACGGAACAAAACTCCGAGATACGTTTACTTTGCCTGCTCACGGTGCGCCATATAGCAACTCCCATGACGAGCATGATTGAGAATGGAACCAGATAACCGGGAATTATAAAATGTCTTCCAAAGTTCTTCAAATAGTGTATCCTGTACTCCAGCACTGGAGCGTCACCAAGATCAGTGTCGAGCCCTAACATAAACATGCCATATGTATAGGCAGCTGCTAGGAGCCATACAAACAATACTGCTACTTTTGCTTTGTTGATCGTCTTCCATGAATGGTAGCGAAGGCCGTGCACGATGGCTCCATAGCGATCCATTGTCAATACAATGAGGTTGAACACAGTTAAGTACATGAAAAGCACGTACCAAGTCACGACGAACCATGAGATAGGGCGGCCCTTTAGGAAGGGCACTTTGCAGATGTACCACATGATCATAAGAGGCATATTGGTCAGGGCGTTGAGGATGTCTATGAGAGCTAAGTTCGCAATCAGAATATTCGGCACAGTTCGCAGAGTCTTAAACCGCACGAGTAACAGGCAAATTATACTGTTCCCGATTATAGATCCAAACATGACAACGGTAATCATTAAGATATGCGAGTGTTTCTCCTCATCCTGACAAGAAGACGTTGTGTTTTCCTCGCCCATCGTTCAGGCTGCTCACTGAAAACCGATCCAATACCTTCAGCCGTCAATTTTGTACTACGTCAAAGACCATAAATAGAGATATTTTTACTGTGGCATCAATCATCTCTTTGTTCTCTGCATCAAGATGAATCGTCTACGTGGGTAATTTCCATTCTTTTCTGAGTTATCTGGAAGAAATTTGACACGTTTAACTTACTTTTCATTTTGCGAAGCTTTCTTTGCCATACATTTATTTATAGGCATTTACACGAATGATTTTCTTTCAATTGAAATGTAGCAAGATAAATTAACAAACTGGGAAATCCCTATAATCCTACATTTAAACTGCTTCTTTCCAAGATGTGGAACGAGGGTTTAGTCCCCAGCAGGTTTTCTTTGCAGTATCTTTTTCTCGACCATGAAGCTTTTATTGATTTACCTTTGTTCATTTGCAGTTCACAAATACGACCAATTACCATACAGGTGACAAATTAATAAATCTTCATAGGCTTGTAAGCCATCTTTCTTTCAATTTCTCCCCAGTCTTGGCGTAAATATTTACCCGCGTGACTGTTTCCTTAAAATTTTATGTCCGACTGAAGAGGTTAGAACAAATTTGATAAATTTTGTATTTTATGCCAGAGTTTGGAAATGGTTGATTGACAAAATCAACTGAAAGATATGTTCTTGTGAAGGTGCAGAGGAAAGTGAGCAAATTAAGAGAGAGTGAAGAGTAGGCGTCACTATATTGCTAANCAGTTAAGTACATGAAAAGCACGTACCAAGTCACGACGAACCATGAGATAGGGCGGCCCTTTAGGAAGGGCACTTTGCAGATGTACCACATGATCATAAGAGGCATATTGGTCAGGGCGTTGAGGATGTCTATGAGAGCTAAGTTCGCAATCAGAATATTCGTCACTGTTCGCAGAGTCTTAAACCGTACGAGTAACAGGCAAATTATACTGTTCCCGATTATAGATCCAAGCATTACAACGGCAATCATCAAGATGTGCGAATGCTTCTCCTCGTCCTGACAAGAAGTCGTCAGGGTTTCCTTGGTCATTGTTGAACTTGCTTACAGGAAATAGTAAGTTTAGCTGTCAATTCTGCATTGAATCAAAGAGGATAATTAATAATAAATGCTACTATGGCATTGACCCAATTCCCTCTCTGTGGGGTGACCATGAATAACGGTCATCGGCAAATGTGATTTAATTGAAGGGTTCCTGAATCATCTGGAAGAGATTCCACAAGGTTTGCTTAGTTTCGTGCCCCCTTCCCGGTTTTTGCCATTTATAACAAGTGGAAGGCTTCCCTTCAAATGGCAGAACATGCATTCAATTACGACGGTTCATATGTAGGATTAATCACGAAATGAAAGACATTGGAAAAAAACAACATCAACGAAAAAGAAAGGCTTTGAAGCTCTCCTTGAGGTTGAAACGCCTTTTTTTCTCGGCCTCAAAGCCTGCTTAGCAGTTCTCATAGATGAACATAGATGTCACAAACTCAAGCATAGTATCAACAAAGGCAGGAACCTTTGTTGGCCTGCTTGTCGCCTTTTTTTAATTTATCGCCAACCTTTGTTCGGCAATTGGATCTCTTTAGCTAATCCTTGAATTTTATATCGGTATAAGGCGCAGAACTAGATTTTACCCTCAGTGATACACATACAGGCAGAGTTTTAGTGAACCCTAGTATTCTTGTAGAATCTTTCATGGAGATTTTCTGCAAATTATAGCTGCAAAGGCAGAGAGAGAACTGAAATCTGTGTGATTGCTAGGACCCATTCGTACCCTTTTGTTTATATGATTGCCATGAGCATGGAGCACTGTATTCGGCGAGCTCAGTGACCATAACTGTAATACTTGCTGGATAACAGCAGATTCAAACCAAAGAAGCTTCGCGTCAAAGGCTACATCTATCATCAAAATGAATTTGTAGTCAGTCATACAATAACTGTCAAGCAATTCCTGTAATTTAACGTATGTTTGAACTCAACAGAAACTGAGTGATGATTCCATATGCAGCTTGCGCCAGTTCTACGGAACTTTTGCAATGCTTGCGAAGCCAATGAAGAAATTGGATGGCAAGAAGAAGTAACTATCCTTATCTTAGCAACAACAATTTTCGTTTCAAAATATTTTACATATTAAAGTAAACAAGAGACCTCGAGTTGTTCTGCTTTTTAAAATTGTTTGCCCAGTAAAACCAGTTTAGGAGCTGAAAAACAAAACGAATTTTTGCTTCTTGAACCCACCATTGCATTCGTTGCCCTTATGTTCAATCAGTATTAAGTTCTGTAAATAATAAGTTACCTGCGAAAATCCTTTGCTCTTCTTTGTCATGTTGTCACATGTACATGCACATGTAGCTCCCTCCATTCAAATGAAATTATCCTAACTCAAAAACGTGTTGATGATAACTAGTTATGTATCCAACGTTCCCTTTACATAATCTCGTTCAGCCGCTTCGTAATGTTTAATTTGTTAGTAACATGATAGTTTTATGGAGTCAATAGAAAGTTGCCGCACCTGTCTGTTAGTGGATAAAAGCAATATCGCCCTTACGTTGTGCATAAGACAAGAGAATATGAGGGTCACGTCATGTTCTCTTGGCGTTAGATTATTTTTTCAAGTGTCTTTAATATTAAAACACTTCTCGGCCAGGCTAATGTCGTTCCTTCGTGAAAATTACGCTTGTCAACTATGGACGGGCTGAGTTTTGCTACTCTGTTCACCCTACATTTCGGTAAACAGCGAAGTTAAACTTAATGGAAATTTTCAGGAAATGTCACTTGACATATCTTGATAAATGGGAAGCAATAAATAAAGTTGACAATGAATATCTGGAAAGAAATATATATGCGAGTCGTCGTGGTAAGAAGGAAGGATTAATGGCTTTCTTTTGCTAGCTCTCTTTCCAACCTGTGAAGTCGATATACAACTGCTAAAGATCTTACTTATTTCGAAAAAAAAGGCTCGTTAAAAAACATGCGTGACAGTCTATCCTTTTATTGACGTGTTGTACTTAAAAAAAAACACAAACACAAAGTGAACTCCAAGGTGACATATTCAGAAATTTGTTTGCAGACGAAGTGGCCATTTGTTGATGAGTTTTCCCTCTAGCGACGTCATTGCTTTGTTGACATCCGTCGCTTCGATTGCCATTTTTATTCAGCAAATGATTCAAAAAATGTTAATTATATTATACTTTTTAGTTTTGGCCTGCATCCCCCAAACTCACAAAACTGAGTCGTGAGATTATAACAAGCTCAGAATAAGTTAATTGTTTTTATTTCTTCCAGAAGTAAACGCAAAACAAAATATCCCATTCCAGTCGTGAAAGGCAATAATTTAACTGGTTTTAAGAATGAGGAAAATATCTTACAAATAAATATACATATTGTTGATTCAACAATACTCTATCACTGACGTTCGCCATCGGTACCAATAATAGGCAAGATAATACCGGTTCTGCGAAAACGGCTTCGCTGAATATTCTATTGAACCGTCTTTATTTCTGTCATATAAACATACACATATCTATTGCCAATATTTTCCCTATTTGTTTCCATTGTGAATATTTTGTGAAATATTTAGCTGCTAACACCAATTATTACCATGCTTTTTTTAGTAACGGCTCTTGAACATTCTAACTGGAGAGTGATGAAGTGAAGCCCGAGAAGTCTTTGGTAAAATTACAGATACAGTAACAACCCGAATTTGACTTTGGGTTATTAACATTATTATTTCTCTCTAAATAAATTCTTTTGATTCCTGAAGATAGCGTATTTTTTAACTTAAATAAAACTACGATGCTCGAAAGTTAATTTGGTTCTTTGTTTAGTTTATCTTTTTTTTTCTGACAAGTACTCGTGCTGTAATTGCCTTATGTCAGTATTAAGGGCCATTTTACACTTTTGATATGATAAGTGAAAACTACTTACTTTCGTAAAACAAGAGATGACTGCTGGACATCTCAAGGGTATATGTATATATCATGGGTTACGTAACCTCCTTTTGGGTGTTATGTGACACTTTGCCATAATGCTTCATTAGCGGGGCGTCGGTATATATATTGCGTTGTCTTCATTTGTATTCATTCGAGTTATACGACCGCCTCTTCACCCTTTAAATTTTGTCGGATACTGAAAACGGCGCTGAATAAACAATAGAGGTACCTCACGGAGGCTCATCGCCTGCGCAGCAAGATATTACTTCAGTGCTGCCTTCCACGGTTCCAGCAGAACAGTCATCCGAATCTACTGATTTAGCATCGACGTT